TGTTTTAAATAGTCTCTCCACCAGAAAGAAGGGCATCCATGCTATTTCTGATCCTGGAAAGTGAGGAGGGCCAACGTGTGCCACGGCAACCTGCGAGCCCCTCCCCCAGGCTGAGCCCCTCCCCAGGCTCGGGCTGTGGGCGGTGGAGGGGCCTCGGGGGACCTGGAAGGGCTCAGTCTGAGGGCGAGGCCCCGCAGCGTCTCCCCTGAGAGCAGGTGTGGCATGATCGCCTCCTCAGACTCACCTGGCCCCTCCTGGCAGGTTTGGGGGGGCGGCCCCCACCCTGGCGGGGAGACTTCAGGAGATGGGGAGAGGCGGCCCCTCCGAGAGCCTTCTTTCCTGTGGATGGGGCTGGACTGGCCCGAGGGTGGGGGGCAGAGGGCATCAGGACGGGCACCCCGCGTCTCCAGGGCAGACGGTCCTGCTGTGTCCTCAGAACGCAGCTCTGCAAGTCCCTGGCCACCGGCCTGCTCCCCGGGCCCCGGGGAGACGCTGGGCCTCGCCGTAGATCTAGGGTCAGAGCAAGCCTGAAACGGGGAGAATAACAGCCAACAACAGTGCAGCCCGGCCGGCGTGGCTCAGTGGTGAGCGTCGTTCTATGCACCAAGGGGGCTCAATTCCCAGCCAGGGCACATGCCCAGGGTTTGGGGCTCAACCCTCAGTAGGGGGCGTGCAGGGGGCAGCCAATGTTTCTACCGCTCCCTCTCCCTTCTTCTCTCTCTCAAAATCAATAAAACATTAAAAAAATGTTCTTAATCTAGATTAAAACAATCTAGGATCTGAAGAAATCTGAAAAAAAACAACAACAAAAAACCAGCAGAGGAGTCTGGAAGGGTTCCCTGCAGCCACCCTGGCGATGGCGGGAACTCGGCCTGCCTCCCCGAGGCCCCCCTGTCTGTGGTCCGGGGGCCGCCGCCCTCAGCCCAGCCGCTCAGATGGGGCGGTTCGGGTCTGTGGAGGGCGGGCGTTCCGGGTCGGAGCGCAGCCCAGGCAAAGGCCGGCCTCTGGGAAGACCCAGACGAGTCCTGCGCTGCTGTCCTCTCTGGGTCCTGAGGGGAAACCGAGGCCCGAAGAGGAAGGGCGCCCTCTTGGTCTCCAGCTCCACACCCAGCGCTCTGTCTGTGTTTCCCGCCCAGACCTGAGCCTGGGCCCCTGGTCCTGGAGCTCCTGGCCAGGGGGCACCGGTCCATCGAGGCAGCACCCTCTAAAGAGCTGCCCCCCTCTTCCCTGGCCCCCACCTGACCCTCAGGCAGACAGCCAGGGTGCAGAGCCCCGTCCTGCGGGCCCTGCAGGGGGTGAGGGTGCAAATCCCTCCAGATCTAGGCTGTGGGGGCAGAACCCAGGAGCGCCGGGAGGACGTGGCCTCCGAGCCCCGAGGCAGGAGGCGTGGCGGGTACGGCCTCCGTGGAGTGGCACCAGGGGAACGTGGACGGTGAAGCAGCCATCCCTGCCAGCCGCGGTGCACTGACCCCTCTGCGGTGATGTTGCAGCTTATAAATAGCCACAGTGAGCCGCTCTGAGCCCCGACTGGCTCAAGCTTACGTAACTGCGTGAACCATGGCCAGCGCCCCAGCCCGCAGGGAGGGCCGCACAGCCACGGGCCGCTGCCTCCGCCGGCTGTAGGAGCTGGGTGGGCGCTCCCCTCCCTGGGAGCCGTCCCCACCCGGGAGCCAGCAGAGGTGGGGGCAGCCAGTGCTGCCAGAAGCACAGGGGGCTTCATGCCCGCGGAGAAGCGACCTCCAGCCATGCCCCCAAGGGGACACCAGGAGCCCAGGCCCAGTGCAGGGGGGGCGGCTTCACCAAGGCAGGAGCCCATGTGGGCAGGGTGACCGGGGCTGCTCAAAGGATGCCTCTCCCTCTTTGAAGGGGGGGTCCCCAGCTCAGAGGAAGGTGTCAGCAGGACAGGCCTGGCGGAAGTGGGCACTGCCATGGAGGCCAGGGCTGGGCTGCCTCCTTGGCTGACTCCGTGGTCCAGGCGGCAGGGTGCTGGCGTCAGAGCGGATGGAACTCCGTGACCGTGGCCACTGCTGCGTGGAGTCCCCGCCTTCCCCGGTGCATTCTGTGTCCCTGGTGCCCAGGCCGAGGACAACCGCAGTGTGCAGGCGGCCTAACCAACGTGAAAGCCAGCGGAGAGGAGAGGGCAGGACGCCCTGGCACCGGAGCCTCTCGTGCCCCCTCTACCTGCCCATGCTGAGCCCCGGACTCAGCAGCTCCCCCACCGGAGCTCCAGCCTGGTCCCCAGCTCCTCGCCAGCTTCAGCGAGACTGGGGAGGCCCAACACGGAGCCTCTTGCCATCTTCCCAGCAGCGAGCCGCCTGCCAGGGCCGTGGTCCCTCTGCTGGCTTTCCAAGATGAGGGCTGCGGATGGGGGAGGCTGGGGCACGGGGAGCCATGGAGGGACAGGGCTGCTCCTGGGCTCCTCACCCGACCAAGCGAGGGGAGACCGTGCCCTCGCTGCCTCCCTCTCCAGGGCAGCCCGGCAGTCCCTGTTGGGCCTGAGCTGAGCATCCTGGGACCAGGGACAGAGGGTGCTGAGGGCACGGACTGAAGGACCGAAGAGCGAGATGCAGGGCCATGGGAGGCGCAGGAGCAGAACCGCCCTTCCTTGCAGAGGGAGGGGGTGAGAGGGAGCGGTACTCTGGGATAAACTAACAGGGCCGGGCTTCTGGAGAAACAGTCATTTCTGAGTGTCCCGGGGTATCCATTGGGGTGGCTGGGACCCAGGGGCCACACCTCTGGACTGAGCTGGGCCAGGCAGGCTCTGCCGCCTGCTGGGCACCTGCTGCCTAGCTTTGGGCTAAGGACTCCCACCAAGAGAGGACCAGTGTGAAGACCGCTGTGGAGAGTGGCTACAGTGTTTGGACAGGTTCAAGCCTCAGACTAATGAGAGGACACAGTCCTCTCATGGCCCACGTGCAGGTCCCAGCTTGGAGGGCAGAGCCCTCCCAGCACAATTATAGCCAACAGCTGTAGTTGTGAGCTTGAACCTGTGGTCTGAGCACGTGGCCCCACGTGCCTGAGTGATGTGGGCTCGATAGAGTTCAGGTGCATGTAGTTGAGTAGGATCGAAACCCACGAGAATGTTGTAAACATCTTGATCACACCCTTACTTTGCCTCGTGGAATCTGCTATAAAATAAAGACTCGGCTTGTAGTCTGTGGCGCTGTCTCTCCATCAGAGAGGACAGCGTCCCACCCAGACCCAGCTTTCTTCTCTTGTCTGTCTTTTCTCCATCCTTCACCACCCCCTCTCAGGCTCCCGAACCTGGCTGAGCTGGCGGCACATAAGGCGCCCATCGTGGGGCTGAGTGTGCCATGGCCGTGCCGGCCCCCCATAGACCGTGCTCCGGGCCGTCCTCCTTAGACGTAAAGAACCAGCCCACCCAGGGCCACCGCCCAGCCGTGCCCACAGCTGCCCCGGCTCTCCGGGCACGGTGCTCATTGGGTTAAACCCCCACTGGAGCAAACCCCGAAAGACCGAGGCTCTGTTGGCCCCCACTATGCGGACGGGGAATGCTGGGGTGCTGTACAGAGTCACCCCCTTCCTCCAGGCTGGAGTGCCCCTCAGGCTGGTTGGACTCTCACTGGGGCAGAGAGAGGCTGTGGGTGAGCAGAGGCTGTGGGTGAGCAGAGGCCGTGGGTGAGCAGAGGCCGTGGCTGAGCAGAGGCCGTGGGTGAGCAGAGGCCGTGGCTGAGCAGAGGCTGTGGGTGAGCAGAGGCTGTGGGTGAGCAGAGGCTGTGGGTGAGCAGAGGCTGTGGCTGAGCAGAGGCTGCGGGTAAGCAGAGGCTGTGGCTGAGCAGAGGCCGTGGCTGAGCAGCGGCTGTGGCTGAGGAGTGGCTGTGGCTGAGCAGAGGCCATGGGTGAGCAGAGGCCGTGGGTGAGCAGAGGTCGTGGGTGAGCAGAGGCTGTGGGTGAGGAGAGGCTGGGCTTCGGTCCCCCCGAGGGGACTCCCCAGCCCAGCAGGTTTCCATCGGGGCCTGGTGGGTGGACTTGGGGCTCAGCTTGGCCCCAGCAGAGGAAACAGGTTCGAGAGCTGCAGCCCAGGCCTCCACCAGCTCAGACCCCTGCAACTGCGCCTGACCCCACCCGACCCCACTCGACCCAGCACCCGAGAGCCCTGCTCTCCCACAGGCGAAGGGACTGAGTTCATGGAGTGGGACCAGGCATAGCCCTGGGACCTCACGGGCCGCAGGAGGGAGGGACGGTGAAGCCACTGTCCAGAAGGTCCCAGGGCTGGAGATGGGGCTACATCCGGAGCCTCCCAGGGATCAGCCCACGCAGGTGTCTGGTCCCTGAGAAAACTCCCCAGGAGACTGGGGCCCAGGCACCAGGGGCGTTTCAGACCAGGCCCCCGGTTCCCCTCAAAGCAGGTCCGTGGACCCCGTGCAGGCGTCCAGGTGCCAGACAGCAGTGACACCAGCGGCCGAGGAGGGTGAGTCATCGCTGCTTCCAGCCTGGCCTCCCTCCGCTCTCCCGGCTCCTGCTTGCCCCGGCCCCGCTGGGCAGCGAGGGAGAGAGGTGAAGCGAGGAGCTGGTCGCTCTCCACACTCGTGGGGGCAAGGCTGGACTCCCCCAGCCCTGGAGAGCCCCCCGCTCATGCCACCCCACCCTGGCGGCAGGCTCGGGCCCACCATGGCCGCACCTCATGCCTGAGGCACCGCTCCGGCCCCCAGCAGGAAGGCAGCCCAGCCTTTGCCAGCCCTGGAAGCCCACAGTCTCCCAGCCCGGCCGGTGTGGCCCAGTGGTTGAGCGTTGACCCATGAACCAAGAGGTCACCGGTGGATTCGGGTCAGGGGCACATGCCCGGGTCGTGGGCTAGACCCCCAGTAGGGGGCGTGCAGGAGGCAGCTGATGGATGTTTCCATCTTCTATTCCTCTCCCTTCCTCTCTCTCTGAAAAACCAATAGAAGCATTTGTTTCTAAAGGCCCTCCTGGCCCCCAGCCCATCAGGGCCTAGAATTGCCCTCCTTTCCTCCCCTCCCTGGCGGCCCCGTCAGGGGTTTGAAACCCCGAAGCAGCCCCAGCTCCTGACGCTCAGTGGCCTTGGAGGACAACGGTGTCCCCGTCCAGGAGCCCGGCTCGGGCTGACCGGGGCCCCGCCCTGGAGGGTCCTGGCCCGGGGACCTCGGCCCAGAAACAGGCCCGAGCGCCACTCGGCTGCACAGGAACCCTGACCCCCCGGGGCGCCCTTCCACCCCCTTCTCAGGGACCCCCCTCCTTGCCAAGCCCCATCCGGAGACCCCATCCCCTCTGAGCTCCTCTCCCATGAACATGAGCCAGGGGCCCCTGAGCCGCAGAGGCTCCGTGGGAAGCAACCTCGCGCCCCCCCTCCCCCCGGGCTTGGTGCTCAGGGGGACCCTTAGACCCCCAGGACGAGGTCAGGGTACGAGGACCGCAAGTGAGAGGGACTGAGACAGTCCTTGCCAGTGGGTGTGGGGACCACAGCTGCGGGGAGGGGGGCTCCAGGACATTCCTCACCTCGCTCCCAGCCTCGGGGGCAACACAGCTGTCCCCTCTCACAGAGACCAGGGGTCCCGCACTGAGGGGCAGCAGGGGTGCAATGGTGAACGGCAGAGCCGTCCCCCCCCCCTCCCCCAGCTCATGGGCCCCTGGTCTCGGCACCCCTGCACCTGAGCAGCAGTCCCTGTGTCAGCTTTCCCTACCTGCCCTCAGGGCCCCGCTGGGCCCCCCACTGGGGGTGAGCGTAGAGAGCACTGGGCAGCGCCAGTCCCCCGGAGACCCCACTGCTTCCCAGGGAGCTTTCCCTTTCATCCTCACTGAGGATATTTTTCCACTGACGTTTAGAGAGCATGGAAGAGGGAGGGAGAGACAGAGAGAAATATGATGTAGAAGAAACACATCGATGGGTTGCCTCCTGCACGCGCCCCGACCACGGCCCGGGCCAGGGAGGAGCCTGCCACATGCCCTTGACCAGAATCGAATCCGGGACCCTTCGGTCATCAGGCTCTATCCACTTGCCCCAAACCCAGGGTTCCATGTGAGAAAGGGCAGAGCTGGGACTCGCAGGAGAGGGAACGTACTCCCTTTAGGGTGGACAGGGGCCCCCACACTGGCAGGGCAGGGACAATGGGGTCCTGAGCAAGAGCGGGGACCACCACGAAGTAGGTGCTGGGCCATCAGCCGGCACCCGCTCCCCCTCAGCATGGAGGCTGCGGAGAGGGCTGCGCGGGGACCTGTTCTCCTCCGGAGCCGGCCCTCGGGGCCATTGTCGAGTGGCCTTGACGGGTATAAATAGCCGCCGGCAGCAGCACCTCGAAGCCGGTGCCCGAACCGTGTGGCGCTGAGGCCTTGCTGCTGGCTCATCTCTCAAGGCTGCGAGGACAAGGCTGGCAGCGTGGGAGGAGGGACAAGTGTCCATGCCCGACAGTGCCTGTGGGGGCGGGGGGGCTGCAGGTGGAGCAGGCAGCCCTGGAGAGGGGCTGAGCCAGGGGCGGGGCCAGCCATCCTGGCTGCTGCAATCCTGGGTGCTCCTCCGCCCTCTGGGGTCCACCCGAGTCCCCAGGGCCCTGCACCCTGGGTCTGAGTCTTGCTACCCTCCTGTTCTCTGGAGGCTTTTCACTGACCCAGCTCCTTCCCAGCCTCAGGGTCTCTCTTCCAGCTCTGCTTCTGCGCAGCTTCCACTTGGCAGGGCCTTAGCCAAAACATCACCTCCTGCAGACCTCCCTCACCTCTGCATTCACCGTTATTAAATATATTTTTATTGATTTCAGAGAGAAAGGGAGAGACAGAAACATCAATGATGAGAGAGAATCATTGATCGGCTGCCTCCTGCACACCCCACACCGGGGATCGAGCCCACAACCCCGGCCTGTGCCCTTGACCAGAATCAAAGCTGGGACCCTTCAGTCTGCAGGCTGGCGCTCTATCCACTGAGCTACACCAGCCAGGGCTGTATTCACCTGTCCATCTAATGCTGTCTTCCATTCCCCCAAAGCCACCTGGTTTGTTTGTTTTTTAAATAGATATATTTTTATTGATTTTAGAGAGGCGGGGGAGGGAGAAACACCAATGCGAGAGAGAAACATCAATCGGCTGCCTCCTGCACGCCCCCTACTGGGGATTGAGCCCGCAACCCCAGGCATGTGTCCCGACCAGGAATTGAACCAGCAACCTCTTGGTACACGGGATGACGTTCAACCACCTGAGCCACACGGCCAGGGCCACCTGTCTTTTTCTTTCAGAGCATTTACCAGAATTTATGCTTAAAGTCATTCATTGGCTGCTCCATGGGCGTCACAGTTGAGTCCCCTGCGCCCAGAGGCCAGGCACGCAGCAGGCGCTCCGTAAGTGCTCAGGGATCACCCGCAATGGCTCCCTCTGTGGCGTGAGGGGCCGTGTGCCTTGTCCCCCTGCTAGAGCCTGAAGGTTAAGGGTCAGGAACAGAGCAGTGGGCAGCTGGGGCCTCCCCTTGGCGCGGCCTGGGGTTAACTCCCTGGCGGGGTGATGCAGGTCCAGGCCCTCGGGGCCTGCCTGGGGCCGAGGTCACGTGGGCCTCGGTGGCTCTGAGAGGGGCCGAGGCCGGCTGGTGCTCCTGTGCACAGGTGGGGACAGTGGCAGTTCCGGGGACGTGGGCTCGTTGGAGGCGGCGAGGCCCAGGTTCACGTAGGCCACGGTCAGCTGCACGTAGTGGTCCCCGTGCAGGGCCGTGGCCACCTGCTCCACTTCTCCCACCAGCGTCCCGAAGGTGGGGCGTGCCGCGGGGTCCGCTGCCCAGCAGCGCTGCATCACTGTGTACCTGCGGGGTGGGGAGTGTCAGGGCAGGGCACGCCTCCACCCACAGACTCTGAGCTGCCCACTGTTCCCCCCTGGCAGGCACGTGGGCATGAGGATGGTGACAGGGCCTCACGCTTAGCTCAGCCCGGCAAGGACAGCCCTTCTCATCCTGTGATGGCTGCTCCCGTCCTGCCTTCCCACCCTTAGAGGTCGAAATGCCTTAGAGGTTAAGAGCTTGGGCTCCTGTGCCCTCGTGCCCTGGGCTGTGTGATTTGGGTCAAGTTCCTTAACCTCTCTGTGCCTCTGGATCCTCCTCTGATCCCAAAGCTGTCGGGGGCGTAAGGAGACAGGATGCCCACGCGGGGCCCAGCTCACAGGCTGCAGGGCAGCGTCACACAGCCTCCAGGGAGGAAGCCCAGAGACAAGGGCGTGTGGGGCGGTACCAGCAGTTCCTCTGGTTGCCAGGGAAACTGCCCCTTTATCTTGGGAATGTCATCCCTGCCTTAAACGACGCTTTAAGTGCCCTACACGCAATAACCACATAATTCTCAGACTCCCTAAGGGCGGGTCTATTATCATCCCAATTTACAGATGGGAAAACTGAGGCCCAGAGAGGAGGAGCGACTTGCTCTGGGATGGCGTTGCACTGCCCAGATCCCCCTTCATTCTCCCAGGGCTGCCGACTGCTCGAGGCTGAGGTCCTAGTCGGGAAAGAACCGCCTCCCCCGAGGTCACACCCTCTTCAGGGACAGCTGTGACCGGTGACTGACTAGCATCTGGTACCAAGACCTGCCACCTTGATCTTAATTTTGCAAAACTCCGCAGGGCCGTCAGCTCCAGCAGTCCCCGGATGGGCTGCGGCCCCTGTGGGTCTGCATCGATGCCCACTTCTCTGCCTGCCCAGGCCTGCTCCCCTCGCCCCCACCTCCCAATAAGCCCCCTGCACATGAAACTCCATCTCAGGGTCTGCTTCAGGGCCTCGCTCCGACCAGAGGCATCAGTGAGGTGGGTAATCACAGGAGCCCCAGGCGGGCGGGCGGGCATGCAAGGGCCACTCCTCCGCGCGGCCGGGACAGGACCGGCGGCCTGGGCCTGCCTGTCCTCACCGCAAAGGCCTGGGCGCAGCCGAGCGCCCGCTGCTGACGGAGATGAACCTCAGCACCAAACCCATCCCCAGGCACGAGGACAGCACAGCTGCCGCCGCCATGCCTCCCAGGACGGGGATCGGAAACCGGATCCCGTGAAGAAAACATCTGATGGGAGATGCGGGGGGCGGTGTGGGAGCTAATGGAACCTTTCCTGAGACTGAGCGAGCGGGAAGATGGAAAACAGCCCCCTTGGCAGGGCTGTGGGGAGAGGAGTGCCGGGAAATCAAATCACTGGCCGCAGCCCAGACACCAAGATGGGAATGCTGTTACCATGGCGACCATGATATCTTCCCCGCACCCAGCCCTGAATGGGGGCAGAACCGGTCCACAGATGAGGAAACCAAGGCTCTGAGAGGGTCCCTTCCCAGGTCACCAGAGGCCAGGGCGAGGCCGGAGCGCTGTCTCCTGTCCCCCCACCCCCGGCCTCCGGGGCCCAGCTCCCGCCCCCACCACCTCCCCATACTCACAGAGCATCCGGGCAATACTCAGGCTGGGGCAGGCGGCGACCCTGGGCCAGGAAGTGAGTGAGGTCAAAAGGGTCGATGTGGGGGTACGGCGGGGCACCCCGTGTCAGCAGCTCCCATAGCAGCACACCAAACGACCACTGTGGGGGGGGAGGTTGAGGTGACTCAACTCTCAACCCAGGAGGACCCCCAGGTCTCCTACCTCCCCGAGCCCTCTCACTGGAAATGGGGGCTCCACCCCCCAATCGGAGCCTGTTCCTCAATACCCCACGAGCACCTTCGCCGTCTCCTCCCACCGCCCGAGCCAGGCCTGAGGGGGGACTGGGTGGGGCCCGGGGAGTTGAGCCAGTGAGCCCACAGCCTCCTCCTGTCCGAGAGGCGGGCGGGGGGCTGCGGGGCTGCCCAGCTGGCGAGTCCCCGGGGCCCGGTCACCATCGAAGCCGGAGGGGCAAGGCGGGGGGTCTCCCAGGACACGGAGGCCACGCGGGCTGCGGGGCCGGGGCCTCACCACGTCCGACTTGCTGGTGAAGCGGTAGGTCTGCAGGCTCTCCAGCGCCATCCACTTGACCGGCAGGCGGGCGTGGCGGTGCTGCTGCACGCTGTAGTATTCCTTGTCCAGGACGCCGCGGGCCAGGCCGAAGTCGGCCACCTTGACCGTGAAAGACTCATCCAGCCTGGGAGAGGGGCGTCGCACTCAGAACTGCCCCCACCTGGCCCCGAGCCCCCCTATTCCATGTCCTCACGGCGTTTCAGAGCCAGAGTCCCCTCTGAGCCTGAACTGGGCAGACAGGACAACTGCGGCCCGCAGCGGGGGCGACAGGCCGGGGCCGCGCAGCAGGGGCTGGAGCCCGGAACCTTCCCTTTCCCGGAGGCACCTTTGGGGCAGCTGTGGCCCCGCACCTGCCCCCTCGCCCCGCCCCCGCGGCTCCAGCCCCTCACATGCAGTTCCGAGCAGCCAGGTCCCTGTGCACGAACTTCCGCTCTGCCAAGTACTCCATGCCGCGGGCCACCTGCAGGCCGAAGCTGACCAGGTCCTTCACCGTGGGGTTCTGGGGGGACGGGCGGGTCAGGAGGCGAGGGCAGGACGGCTCCCTCCCCGCTGCTGCCCCGCCTCCCGACCCAGGGCCGCAGGAGCGCTGACCCGCTGGGGCGAGCGGATGAACTGGAGCAGGTCTCCGTGGCGCATGTAGGGCAGCAGCACGCGGGGCAGCCCCTCCGGCGGCAGCACGATGCCCACGAGGGCCAGCACGTGCGGGTGGTGCAGGTCACGCATGAGCAGCCCCTCGCGCAGGAAGGCCTCCACCTCCTGCACCTCCGTGATGCCTGCGGGGACAGGAGGGGAAGGGTCTCCCGCTCAGGGTCCCTCAGCGAGGGGGGAACACAGCAGGGACCGGGACCGCCCAGCCTCTGCCCCACTTACGATTCAATGACTTGATGGCACAGTGGATTCGATTCTGGGCCTCGTCTATGTACTCTCCGTGGTAGACAACGTCTATGTACTCTCCGTGGTAGACAACCCCGAAGTGGCCTGGCGAGGGGAGGTGGTGAGAGGGGCCCAGCGCCCAGGGCCCACACCACACCCTCTCGTGGCGACCAGACCCCAGAGCACCGACTGGCATTAAACACCAGCAGCAGCTGCACCACGGCACAGCCTGCAGCCGCCCAGCCCGCATGAGCTGCACCAGAACCCACGGAAAACAAATTCCTACCCCACAGAAGAGCAGCTGGAGGCTCAGAGAGGCTCCTTGGTTTGCCCAAGGTCACACAGGAAGGTGAGAAGGCGACAGTCCTGCCCAACTGTCCCCTGAGCCTGTGTCACGTCACAGCCCCCCCGGCCTGGCCCCACACCTTTGCCAATGACTCGGTCACTGTGGGTGACGACGCGCTCATGGGGAATCAGCACATCCTTGACCTCGGCCAGGAGCACGGGGTCCAGATCCCCAAGCTGGATGGACTTTGTCCGAAGCAGCGGGACACAGGACCCGTCCCCGCTGTCTGAGAAGGACGCTCTGTGGCCCCGACAGGTGGCATCCAGACCGTCCCCAGCGGGAGAGGCTGCGGAGGAGAGGGAGTGAGGGGCGGGAGGGGCAGGGCGCTGGCCCCGGCTGCGGAGGGCCCCGTCTCACCAGGGCCATGTCTGTAGTCAGAGCCTGCCTGGAACAGAGACAGAGGCAGGCCCTCAGGGCTGTGGTCCAGAGATGCCAGGTCAGCCAGGTTCGGAGAGAAGGCTGTGGAAGAAGGCCCTGGTAGGCAGCCTCGCCCCGCTCCTGGAGGCCGACCCCTACCCAGGAGGTGTGGGCAGACCCCGGCCTGGGCAGTCAGGGGACAGGGGCTGGGGGATGCCATGGTGGAGGTGGCGGCTGAGTCGGCCGGGTGTGGGTGGGGAGCTCACCCAGCTGCTTCCTCCTCCGGTAGTTGAAGACCAGCGCAATGGCCAGGAGAGCCACGAGCAGGACCAGGGCCAGCAGGACACCCAGGAGCGTCCTCTGGAGGGGACCCCCTGGGCCTGGCCGCACCACTCTGCCCAGGACCTGACATTCGCCATCCACGCAGACCTGGGGGAGGTGGCAGTTCAGGCCCCGCCCACAGACCCCAGCCATGTCTGCGGCGAAAGGCCGGCCGAGCTGCCTACCTCCAGGGGGGCGCCGTCCTTGCCCAGCGGCAGGGTGGGGGGCAGGGGGCAGATGACCACATCGCCCCGGAGCTCGTGCTGGCAGCTCTGGCCACCCACGGTGACGTTCACGTCCACACAGTCAGCCACGGCTCCGAGGCCGATGTACTGCGGAGACAGCGTGAGGCCTGGCCAGCGTGAGGCCTGGCTGGTCCCTCTGCCTGGGGCAGGCTTCAGCCCCACCCTCCGCTATACCACCTCCGCCCCCACACTCACCTCGAACTTAACAGATTGCTCTTCCGGCTTCAGTGGGGCCAGGCCAGTGCTGGGTGGGTGGGGCGGGGGCAGGAAGCGAAAGCCAGGCAGTGTGAAGCCAGCAGCTCCATCCCCCCGGGCACTCAGGTTCCCTGTCACCCACCCCTGGGGGCCTCGGACCACGTATTCGGGCAGGCGGCACCACTGCTTCTCCGGGAGCTGCCCCGCACACTGCCGGGGCCCAGGCGAGAGTGGTTAGGCGGGCATCCCACCGTGGCCATCCCAGTCCCCTCAGCCCAGCGTGGGGGGTGCTGGGGCTCAGGGGACGGGCTGGCCTTCCTCCCTCCTGGCCAGTGCCCATGTGGCAGCCGCCGGCCCCGCTCACCGGGTTTTCCACGGCCGTAAGCCCGTCGTGGAATGACAGCGCCAGGCGCCACACTGCGGTCAGATGCTGGCCACGGATGGTGACGTGGGAGCCACTGAGGAGGAGAGCAGGCCGGTGGGCTTGGGGTGCTCTGAGGGTGGCTCCCTCGTTCCTGGGAGACCAGAGGGGGAAGGAGGTGGCACTTACGTGTAGCCGCAGTTGGGGCTGATGCCCAGCACGACGGGGTCTTCCCGGTAGTGGAAGGTCCAGGCGCCCGGCACCGGGGCGCCCCCCACCTGCAGGCGAACGGGAACGCTGGCCGGGGCGGCACCGGGAGGCGTGGTGCATACAAGCTGCCCCTCGCTGACCCTGCAGGACAGGGGGCTGGGTCAGGGCCACCCTCCAGGGGTCTCTACTCCACGGGTCTGTCCAAAGGCGGGCGGTCCCAGTCAGACCCCAAGAAGACAGGGCGGAGCAGGCTCCTCACAGCCGTGGCTGGAGGCAGGGGACTTGGGGATGGTCTCTCTTGCCATCCCCAGACCGCCTCTTCCCGGGCCTGACCGTGTGACCGAGCCGCTCTCCCTCCGCCCTGACGGACCCGAGTCCCAGTGGCGGGGGCTCCCTGGGGGAGGCCCGGTGGCCTCCGCTCCCCCCGCCGCCCACACTCACCCGTCCAGCAGGCACTCGCTCCCGTTGACCAGCACAGCCCGGCTGGTGCCTATGGACAGGCCCTGGCCCCTCAGGGTGAGGCGGGTGCCCCCGGCCTGAGGGCCAAAGAGGGGGTGCACTTCCTTCAGCACCGGCTCCTGAGGGGGTGTGGCGGCGGCTTAGCTCGGGCCGGAGACCCTCCACTCCAAGCCCTTCCCTGCCCAGCGGCCAAGGGCACAGACAAGACCAGGCGCCTCACCATGAAAGAGAAGCCTGGCAGCGCGGAGGCGCCGTCCACCCGGAAGAGCTTGCCCCGCGGCATGTTGGTCACAGTGAGGCTCACGTTGGCAGGCCCAGCTGCCTGCGTGCCCGGGGGCTGCAGCTCACACGCAAGCACCTCTATGAAGCCCTTCCAGGACACGGGGCTAGAGCCCCGGGAGCTCAAGGTCAGCCAGAGGTCACACAGGCCGGGCTGCATGCCCACCGCCGGCTCCAGGGCAGGAGGACCTGGCGGGGGCCGGGGGCCAGCCTTGCCCGCTCCATGACGCCAGGGCACACGCAGCTTGCCTCACCTCCCTGCCCCACAGGCAAAGGCTAGGGCTCAAGGGGAGGGGCCGCTGGGTGGCCCCCTGAGGAGAGGAAGGGCGGGGGACCGTGGTACCTGGATTCTGAGCTCTCCTGGGGCAGCAGTCGGCAGGGACTTTGGCCCACGGTGACCTGGTGGGGTGCCCTCAGGCACCAGACCGCCAGGGTGCAGGTAGAAGTTGGAGCCACACAGGGTCAGCCTGGTGCTGCCCCGGAGGGGTCCACTGTGAGGATAGAACTGGAGGGGGAGCAGACAGCCTCTGTGGGCCAGGCCCTCAGCCCTGGCTGCTTCCCCCCAACTTCCCTGCCGCACCCCTCGCCCGCCCCGCTCCATTCATTCTAAGTCATGGCTAGTCCCCGATCACTGTTCTGCCTCCAAATCTGCACGTGCCACCTTCTCTGCTCACAGTGCCTTCCTTGAGGACATCCCGGGGCCGAGGAAGGTCACGGTCAAGACCTGCTGCCCCCACCCCAGGCCCAGCTTGCCTCACCCTCACCTGTGCCCGGCCAGGCAGGCCATACCTCAATCAGCTCAGGCGGGCAGTGGTCCTGTTGCCAGGAGCCAGGACACTCCTTCTGCCGGCCACACACGCTCCCACACCAGCCACAGCCCATGAAACGCTGTGCCCGCAGACAGCGCCCGCAGGTGAGGAAGTGGCGGCAGCCGGGGCCTCCGATGGGCACCTGGAATACCTTGGGGTGGCGGAAAGGTGGCTGGGGGTGACGGGAGGAGGTTGGGAGCCCGGGGCCCCGTTGTAGAGCAGCGTGGTGAGACCTGGTGTTAGTGCCTCTCTCGCGCCGGGCCCGGCCCCTGCCCCTGCCCCTGCCCCTGCCCCTGCCCACCTTACCTTGTCCCCAGAGGCAAAGAGCAGGTGGTTCCCAAGGCGACTGACATCCCGTTGCACGGGCTGCTTGCTGCTGCTCAGCGAGAAGTTGGAGACATACAGCAAGTAGCTGAGAGACCGGGCCAGCTCCACCTGGGACAGGACCGCTGTGAGCAGCTTGGGGATGGGGAGGAGGACGCAGGGCACAGGGCTGTGGAGACGGGGGCCTACCTGCAGGACGCGCCCGTCACTCGTGCCCATGTGGGCCACTGTGATGTTGTCCAGGCTGGTCACGTGCAGCGCGGTGATCTGCATCGGTCCTAACAGGCCGTTGAACAGGTCCACGCGGGAGAAGCTGCTGCTGACCAGCAGAGGGAAGTGGTAGCAGCTGCCGTTGGAGCTGGGCGCCGCGGGGTCCGGCTGGGGGAACCGGGGAAGGCGTCAGGGCTCATCACACACAGTGCCTGTCAGGGGCCACAGCAGCCCGAGCTCCCGCCCTCACCGGGCCTGCCTGGAGGAGACCCAGGCCCACCACTCTGCCCTCCGCCCCCCCTACCTCCCCCCCAGGGGGGCTCTCAGAGGCAGCAAGGCCAGCTCCCCCTAGGCCTGGCCCTCCCCCGTCATGTCCATTCTGACAGTGAGTACTGAGTCCTACAGACCCCTTCTCTCCCCACAACCACTCCCCACTCCCCACTCCTTACAGACAAGGAAACAGGCGGGACCTAAAGGCCCTGGTGGGCCAGGTGGGAAGCCTGAGCTCTTGAGCAGCGTCCTCTCCTGCCCCCTGCTGGCTCTGCCTTGCACTTCAGCAAGCCCTGCCCCTCTTAGGGGTTTCTCCACCAGCTGAGGGCGCTGAAGTCGGGGTTAACTTGTCTGCCCCGGTGGCCACATGGTCCTTCTCCCCGAGACTCCAGGGGGCTTCCCGCACTTTCAGCGCTACCTGCACCTCCTTCAGACAAGCCAGGGTCAGAAGGCCTGGGTGCCAAGCGCGGTCCCAGGGGCCGGAGGCGCTAACATCTCCCTGCTCTTAAGAGGGTGTTTGGGGCTGCCCTCAGGGCAGGGTTGCGGAGGCTTCTGGAAACCAGGAAGCCAGGGTGTGAACGCAAGGTGTTTGCTGAGTGCAAAGTGCAGGCAAGGGCTCGGTCATCCTAGCTGCCTGGGACCCAGCTAGCTTCGGGGGCGCTCAAGGCTGGAGCCCCTGAAGTCTCCATCAGACCAAGGACGCGGAACCCAGTCATCAGACCTCAGCACTGATCGGGGGGCACGAGCAGGTGCAGAGCTGGGCCCAGCAGCCCACTCGCTGGGTCTGCGGCCTGGTGGGTGAGGACGGGGACTCTGTCCTCACTGAGGAAGGAAACGGAGGCCCGTTCCTCACCGGAAGTCAGTTCGGTGTTTCCAGCATGACTCAGGGGCGGGTGGGGCCGGGGGGTGGGAAGAGGCCCTACTCCAGTGGGGCCACACCCCTGCCTGCTTGCTTGGCTCCCCACGCCTCAGCTCTGGCTCCCCAGGCTGGTCTGATGGCCCGTGGCTCCTGGGGCCAGGGAGGGCAGCCAGCAGCGCCGAGCCCCCGGCTTCCCGAGGCCAGCCCCGTGAGCAGGGGGGTGGCCTGGAGGGTGCCTGCCCAGTCACTGGACAAACATGGTGCCAGCTGGTTCACACACCTCCCAGGGGCCGGGCCAGCCTGTGGGCAGGGCTGTAGGTTAGGCTTCCTAGAGCCAGGCACTGCCAGGCCTTGCTGGGTGCTTTCTGGTCCACTGGCCACTAGCCCAGTTGGGGAGAGGTTCAGACTCCGCAGAGGGAAGAGGAGGGGGGCAGGCAGGGCTGTCAGGCCCAAACGAGGGAGCCCCAGCCCTAGGCCTCCTCAACCTCCATGAACTCAGCTGAGGGCGGGGAGGGGGGCTGAAGACCCCCACCTCGTGTAGAGCTCCCCCCACCTCTGGGCCATAACAGCAGCCGGACAGGAGTCAGCGGTGATGTCGCAACAAGGCCAGGGCCACAGGGCAGCCAAAGGCTGCGAGAGCAGTGCCTGTGTGTCACTTGCTGAGGGACTCTTCACCCGTGTCCCTGGTTTAATTCCTTATAACCGAGGGTGGACTGTTTCCACGGCTCCCAGGATCAGTTTGGGCTCTGTGCTCAGCATCTGAAGGAATGTGCTGCTTGTCTGTGCTCCAGCTCCCCGACACTGCTGGGGAGCCTGGGGAGGGTCGGCTGGAAGGAGCCCAGAACCCAGCCTGGGCTGGGACACCTCCTGCCTGGGCTGAGAAGGGGGACTCGCTCCTGCAGGGCCCAACTATAGTGGAAAGTGTCCGAGAATCCTGCGTGGTGACCCAGTTCCCCCAGCCCCTCCTAAGTCTGTACTCCTCCCCAGATGTTTACAGTTGCTTGCACAAGACTAGGGTGAGCCTCCTGGAAGCGACTAGAGCCAAGCCACCCCCCCCCCCAGACCCGGGGCCTCCCGCAATCACCCCACCCACGGAGAACAATCAATCCGAATGAGAGTGGCCTGCAGACTCCCTGACAAACCCCCCAACTTCCCAGCCGGGGCAGTTCCAAGGCCCAGGAGCTGGGGGAGGGGCTCGGTCGGCCACTCCTGCCCCTCCCTCTTTGGAAAGCAGAACAAAACAAGTGCTCCCCGAGGGAAAGTGAAACTATTGGGAGCGCTGAGCCCCTGTGCATCTGTGCGCATCTGCCCGGGTGCAGCAGGGCCTGTCTGGGTACTGTCTGTCCCTGCAGGGAGGGTGCTGTCTGTCCCTGCGGGCGGGTGGGGAGCCCATCCCTCTACCCAGTTTGGCAGCGTGCCTGGCGAAGAGATGGCTAGGATGCAACCCAGTGCTCACATAACCAGGGAAACTGCCTAAGAAATCGGAGGCGGTGGTAGGTGAGGGCAGCGCAGAACCGGGTGGGAGCAGAGGCAGCCCGGCGGCGGAAGCGCCTCCGCGGCCTTTGTGCGGCCGGTTCCCTCACCGCCCCGGGGCTCAGGGGTTGGGTGGAAAAGAAAACTCCCTCCTGTCGGCCTCGGGTTCCCAGACCCGGGGGGGGGGGGAAGGAAAGCGGCCGGGATTCACCCACGGGCACGCCGCTCTTCAGAAGAAGGGCCCCTGCTCCGTTGTTCCCCGGGGTTGGGGG